TCTCTCTCTCTCTCTCTCTCTCTCTCTCTCTCTCTCTCTCTCTCTCTCTCTCTCTCTCCACGATACATTACAAACGTAACGTCAACATCACAGTGCTGTAATCTCTGGATGAATTTTTATTTTGACGGTTTAGAAATTAGGGTCGGTCGTGAAACCAAAGTGAAATAACATACTCCTAAACGACACCGAACGGTGGGTGAAAACAGACGGGTAGCCCCCTCCCCGCCCCCCATTTTCCGTCCACCATATTTTATACATCCGTGGCACTCTACACTACATACACAAGGGACGTGTTCGTAGAGCTTTTTCTTGGAGTTGCGTGTGATTCGGCGATGAGGTATGTTTGTTTGTAGAGCTGACCTCGAACGACAGAGAGACCAACCGGAAGAAGTTTGGTCAAGACCTCAAGCCCAACACAAACCTTCATTTGCTGCCCTTCACAGCCAGCCCAACTTTAACAGCAGGAACGCAGCTGCTTCCTATTGAATCGCCTTGTGCTATGTAATATGCATCTAATTGATTGCTTCATTATCTGCTAGCACGAACCTGTCATCCCCCCCCTCCTTACAAAACTACCCATGTCCCCACCCCCCACTGTAAAGGATAAGCACGCGCGGTGCAATCTGGGAGACCCGTGAAGACGAACTCACTTGTTATTAACTCATGTGGAACAGCTGCAGTAGCTGTTGCCAAGGGAAGGTAGAGGAATGTCTAAGATGGGGCCGGATCAGCTGCTCAAGCAGGGGCTACGAGATCCTGTCCCCTGTTTTATCCTTCCGTCGGCAGTCACATCTCCCGCACTTTCCTCTGGGCATTAGCCCGCACTACCGTTGGTACTTTTCTACATATTCAAATCCCATAACACTAGCCCACCCTGGAGGTTCTCATACGCAGATACGTAAATCTCGGAACTTGACAATTACTTGTCGAATCCCAAATGAGAGTAGCGAGGATACGAAGCTCCAAAATACCACAATTCACCCTCCCACACCTCTCACTCCATGAGTCGCAAGACCATCGTTTGACCTATAAAAAGAAGGCACAGGAAGTAACGAACTGGTGCTAACAGAGAGGAAACCAACGGAAAAGCCGCAACAGGCGAAGGCTACAAATACCATGACAAGTCGGAACCCAAAAGAAAGGGGAAAAAAGGACACGGAAGAAACGAACAAAGTAAGCGTCGCCGGAGCGACGAAAAAGGAACGAACGTCGTCGGAAACAGGAACAAAGGAACGTCGTCAGAACGGTGAAAAAGAGGGCTGTATCGACAAAACGATAAGATACGCCAAACAATCACCACGGTAGCGTGAGAGCGACAACAAAGGTCACGAAACACGTTTGGCCCGCAAACTCTAAGAAGTAGAGACAAAAATACATCGAAAATGTACAAAAGCACCACAACGTACCAAAAAGACCGGAAACCAAACGTTTCGGAAGCAAAGCAAAGAAGAAGAGGGGTCGTGACACCAAACAACAGCTGGCAAAACCTCGGCAGGGAACAGAGAAAGCTCGACCTGGCGGAATATTGAAGCCAAAAGAAAGAAAACTAGAAAACGAAAACAAATAATGCTATTGTACGAGCAACAGAAGGCAAAAACAACCAAGCATGCCATCTTAATGTGGGCGCCCGACGTCATTAGACAACGAATCGGTCACAACGTCGCTACGCGACGTGTCGATGCCGCGAAGAACACCCTTGAATAGGGCGCTGCCGCTGTGTACTTGGAGGCACCAGGATCCGGAGACGGCGGTTTCGACGGTAAAGTAGCGAACATCGAGCAGGGCAAGCAGGTCCAGGATCGTCCAAGAAGCGGACGACGTAGAAGTCGGACGGCAGAGGTGGTCCAGAAATCTTGCCCAACCGCCAGAGTTCATCTCGTGTCTTGTACCAGAAGAGGGCGCCCACAGGTAAAGGAGTGTTGGCGAAGCGACGGTCCCATGTTGAACGGGAAACAAGCGAGCAGCCCGAAGGCAAAGCTCGCGCACCTTGAGCACGCGCCAATTCCCTGGTAGCGGCACCAATGCGCATCGCACAACAACGGCGATTTGTTTGGCGATGTTGGTCAGGCGAACCTGCCCAGTACCGGAGAATGTGCCGCTGGGAATGCTGCAGGGCCATCTCACGCTCCCAAGAAGGACGCAGAAGGCCCTGCCAATGTGTCTGATATAAGACAGCCATCGTGCCCCTACGGCCACGGACGGACTGGTGGCCACTAATACGTTCAATCTCTAAACGTTCAACCGGAGTCGACACGTCGTCTTCCGTAACATGGGAGGAGATTTGTTCGCATAAAAGTTCAGGACGTACGGAGTAAGACCAGCAGGCAGAAAGCGCGGTAGATCATCGGTGTCATGCGGATTGACGCAAGGCTTGCAACGCACAACCGAAACACGAGGTTTCAAATTTTGACCCGGCAGGTCCGAAGAAAGATCCAAGTTAAGCAGTTTGGAAGCCAAAGGACGACCGTCAGGGCTGTCAGAACACGGGCCCACAGCCAAGATTTTGAAGGGGCCAGTCCACAGTAGAGATAACTTGGCTTTGAGAACCTTATCATCTGTGTCTGAACGAACGCAATGTCGAATAGTAAATTCGGAGTCATACACCCAAACCCATCCACCAACAGTGTAAGAAGGAAGCTTATGGAAAGCGTCCGATAGAGTGGAATTACGCCGCTCAATCTACGAAACGGACAGGTTATGCTGTTCACGCACCAAGTCGTAAGAACGACGTTGGCGATCAGCAGCAAGATCGCAATATTCGAGTTATCACGATGCAAACTTTGGTGGCCACGCGCGTAAGGATGCTCAAGAACAGTCATCGGTAAACGAGGCAACCGATTCATATGCACCTCATTGGGCGCTAAACCGGTAGCGGCGCTAACGGAATTGTTTTAAGCAAACGCGGCGTGTGGGAGATGAATGTATCAATCATCTTGTCGTTCGTTGACGACCTTAGCCAACATCTGAGCCATATTGTGGTTGACACGCTCCACACCCCCATTTTCATTGGGATGGTACGAGCTAGTAGCCACTTTGCGGATAGCAAGACGGCCACACACGGCTTGGGACAGTTCAGAGCAAAACTGAGAGCCGTTGTCAGACAAAAGACTCAACGGGCAACCCTACAAAGGGATAAACCTGTTAACAAGGATGTCAGCAGTGCCTTCGGCGGTGAATTCTGCAGACGTCACCGCGTACATATCAGCACGGCGGCTGAAACGGTCTGTAAAAGCAGAATGTATGTGTTGCCACGCGGTGTCAACGGAAGTGGACCAAAATAGTCAATACTCACCGACACACCAGGGCCCGAAGGCAAAGGAAGGGACATGGTAGGCCACCGAGGAGTCTGACGAGACGATTTACGGGCTTGTCATCCTAAACAATGCCGCACCCACCACTTCGTACAAACACTCATGCCAATCCACCAATAGAAACGTTCCAGCATGCTAAGCGTGCGAGCCGCACCGAGGTGACAGGACGCATCAGCGTGGCAGACTTGCATGATCCACGGACGCATGAGCATGGGGACATAAATCCGAATGGGTTCATCGTTAAGAAGGCGAGCAGCACGTCCGCCAGGACGCGTGGTCGTGGACGACGGGGTCGTTGTTTGCTCGCGAACAAGCAAGACCAAACCATCATCGTCAACATGCAACCGGCCTTTGTTAGACAGGTCACGAATCTCCGAAAGAGAGGGTTGACGAGCGGACGGCACACGGTCCAACAAATCCGAAGGGAGGACCGAAGGCCGACCCAGAAGGATGAAACGAATGGNGTTGTTTGCTCGCGAACAAGCAAGACCAAACCATCATCGTCAACATGCAACCGGCCTTTGTTAGACAGGTCACGAATCTCCGAAAGAGAGGGTTGACGAGCGGACGGCACACGGTCCAACAAATCCGAAGGGAGGACCGAAGGCCGACCCAGAAGGATGAAACGAATGGCTGCATCACACACAGGTTCGTTACGTTGTTCGCGAGCCCAATCAGCATGCGAGAAACGTTCGACGGACACCCGGAAGGCTAGATTCGCCAAAGAATGCAAAGCCGCCTCGATAGAAGGGGGGGCTGAGCGAGGTGTCGACCGCAACCCATCCGAAGATAGAGCAGCAATGGAAGCCGAAGGCGAATTCGCGCGAGAGGTTGACACCAAACGCGACAAAGACTCCGAAGAGTCGGGGGCTGCAGAAGGCTGCAAAGCAGGAACAACCGCAGTTGTGGTAGGCGTCGGAGACGCAGTCTCCACTCCATGAGCCAGAGACGCGGAGGGAGTCAAGGATAAACCACCAACACCAGTAGTCGAAACCCAACTGGGCAAGGCTGGTGTCATCGACGGCGACGAAGGCTCCGTCAGAGACCGCCGAAACGGTCGAGAGGGAGTGGAAATCCGCGTGGGAGACAANGACGCGGAGGGAGTCAAGGATAAACCACCAACACCAGTAGTCGAAACCCAACTGGGCAAGGCTGGTGTCATCGACGGCGACGAAGGCTCCGTCAGAGACCGCCGAAACGGTCGAGAGGGAGTGGAAATCCGCGTGGGAGACAAAGCAGGCTCATCGTCAGAAAAACCATTATCAATAGGCGGGAGTGGCGTGCCTGCCACAGCTGCCTTGCGACGACGAGTCCTGGTNCAAAACATCATCGAAAGACTGAGGTAGGGAACCGGACCAAACGATGGGAGGTCGATTGCGCAATCGCGACCGAGCCGAACGGCGGAACATCTCGGGCGGCAAGGGAGCGATCTTGGGCGAAAACGAAACGACGTTCCAAACGCCCGATGAAGACGAGAGGCCTGATGGCGGTAGACGCGGACCGTGCCGACGGAATCAGCGAAGTCAGCCGTACAGGGGGCAAGCCCACCCAAGACCGAAGTCGGGGAATTAGGAACTAGCCCACCCAAGCCAACACCCGCGGCCTGATCACCGGAAGGGGTAAGTCCACACGAACGGATGAAAAACACCGCCTCCTCATCCTCAGCTGGGGTCAGACGGCTGCGACCCGAACGGTCGCATTCAGCCGCAGCGACCGGGAGGCGTGAGAGGAAATCAGCGTTGCCATTTGCGGAACCCTTGCCATACTTGAGAGTGTGATTAAAGGCGGTAAGATATTCCAGCCAGCGCTGAACGCGGGCATTGTTCTCCCCCACTTAGCGAAATGCTCGAGAGATTTGTGGTCGGTAAAAATGCGAAATTTCGTACCCCACAAGTAACCGCGAAGGCGCTTGATACACCACACGATGCTACCCGCCTCGAGATCGAGGGGAGTCCAGTGACGCTCTGAGTCCAAAGTAGCCCGGCTGATGAAGACAATTGGGCGAACGGAACCATCTGGCTGTTCCTGTTCGAGAGTCCCACCAAACCCATCGCGACTAGCATTACAGTAAAGATGAGAAGGTCGCGAGCCGTCTGAAACGGCATCCCAATCTGGATAAACCAAAACAGGAGGATTAGCCAACTCAGCTAATAAAACGCGAACGGCTTGCTCCATGGAAGGGGTGAAGATAAACTTCTCCTGCTTCTTGAGTAGAGTAGTCAAAGGTCGGATGCGTTTAGCCATGTTGGGGAGGAACTTACGGTAGTAGCTGAGACCACCGAGAAGGGAGCGTAGTTGCTTGACATCCCTGGGCATAGGCATTTTGGTGAGGGCCGAAACCTTGGCACCGTTAGGCCTAACGCCGTCAGGGGAGATGGTGTGTCCGAGGAAGTCTGCTTGAGTAGCGCCAATAGTAGCTTTCGGAGGCGTGGGTTTCAAGTTGTGCGCACGCAAGCGTTCAACGAGTGCGCGCATGGTACCAACATGAGTAGCAGGGGTGTCATCAAAGACGATCAAATCATCCAAGTACGATGCAACACCGCGGAGATTTTTGATGACTTCGTTGACAACTTTGCAAAACCACACAGGGGCAGCCGAACTGCCTTGAGGCATCTAGTCAACCACTCGAAAAGCCCTGAAGATGTCACAAATGCCGTCAAAGTGATTGTATCGCGGTGCACCGTGATTTGGTGGAACGAAGATTTCATGTCGAAAAGGGAATAAATTCGCCCTTGCAACAACTTGTCCAAAGTATCATCGACGCGAGGAATCGGAAGCTGACTCAAAGCACAAAGCTTGTTGAGCTTGCGATAATTGACGGTGATGCGAACACCACCAGATTTCTTCAGTATGACGACCAAAGGGCTCGAGTAAGGCGAGGTCGAATGTTGGATCAAACCTGCCGCAAGATATTGGTCAAGGATCGCGTCAACTTGTTTCGCTTTCGGGGGATTAATGCGGTAGGGGCGAGACGTGACGGGTGCGCTGCCAGGAGGAACTGTAAGCTTAAAAGAAAAAAGCGAACAAGATCCAAAGTCGGTCGGAGAACTCAAAAACACATCATGGTATTCGCACAGAACGTTACCAAGCTGAGTAATGACATCGGGAGTCCAACCCGGGCCGTGGAGATCAAAAGTATTCTCACGGAGATGGCATGGGAGCTTATCCCAGACCTCGGAGAAACTTTGACGCTGTTCTGGCGTCAACCGCTCGAGCAGAGCAGGCGAAGGCGACGAAGAGGAAGAACTGGCGGAACCAAAGTCCCCTCGGTCGCTTGGCGACGGGACGGGTCGCTCGTGCAATTTATACACAAAGGGGTCAGAGACGGAGTGCGTGGCAGACGAATCAACGCAACCTGTAGAAGCAGGACCAGGGACCCAGCTGTCTGAAGCAGCGGTGGATTCTGAAGCCGCAGTTTGAAGACCATCGCTCAAACTGTGGCGAGAGACAGCGCTAAGAGGCACGCGAAGAAGGGGAGCCGAAGCTGTACCTAGAACGTCGCCGGGTTCGAGAGACGAGATGCCCGCAAGAGGGATTCGTTGGCAACTATTTTGCACAAAATGTTCCTCGGAAGAAAACATAGCACATTGAGGGAGCATATCCACTAAATAGTTACCCACAAGGGCAGGCGAGCCATCATTACGTACCAAATCGACCTGAATGAGGCTATGCTCTGGGTGAAGTTGAACGGAGTATTTGTCTGCATAGCGAAGTTGGTAACTTCCATCCGTTGCGGACAGATCGTGAGCGAATGCCGTGGCACCACAAGTGTCATGTTGGGCTAATGTAAGCTCACCAAAACACGGTCACCAGGACGTTTCGCACGCGAAGTGCGGTAAGAACGGTCACTAAACCGCATCCAACTTGTATCTCTGTCGAGGAGCACGTCATGATGCATGACGCCGTCAGGAACAACGTGTGCCCAAACAGCAAGGGAGCAAGTAGGAAGGTTCTTACGGAGAAACTGAACACTCAAACGGACAATGGTCGAAGTTTGGCTCGGCGCAGATTTCCCAAAGCCACCCCAACAGCGAGATTGGGTGTGTTTCTCAGACAACGTTGAAGCAGCCGAAGCCACTTTCATGGATTCCCATGCAGGAGCACTAATGAAAGACTGCGGAGAACCCGTATCCATAAGAGCGATACACCCTAACTGCACAGAGGCCAAACCGCTGTGGAGGAGGATTCTGGTAGTGAAAGAGTCGTCATCGATGGTCACAACACCACCAACCAAATCCGGACCTTGCTCTGGGAGCGAGGAGGAGGACGACGGGATGTATTCTGAAGACACGACCCAAACGGCGGTGTCGTGATCCGACGGGACATTCGGAGCATATTGCGAAAATGACGCGAACCGGTCGGTCGATGGAGGGCACGAAGCCGTCCGAAGGCGCTGGTGTGTGGAAGGGTTAACTTCACACACCGCAGAATGAAGGGACGACGTAGGAACGTGGTCGGTCGGGGGCAGCAACAAGAGCTGCGCTCGGGAGGCGGGGCACAATGTCGTACGTACGTTCTGTAGGGCGGTGCCTAACAGATTGAGGCCGCACCATCTAGATGTGCATCCAACGTCAGGATGATCGGCCTGGAGGCCAATGCCCCAAACACGGTCGTAAGGACTGGCTTCGGCAAGGATTTTGTCACCAGATCCGAGGAGATGAATTCGTAAGTCGGAATTTTGACTAAATTTTGCGCAAGAGCCAGTGAGCACAATGTTTTCGCGTTCTTGTTCCCAAAGCGATTGGTCGAAACCACGGACCTCACGGCCAAACTTTTTGTGTAAGGCCGGGTCTGACACTCGCATGACGTTCTGTAAAGCACAGCGATCTCCGAAAAGACGGGCCTTTTTCTGCAGCGAAAAATTGTTCGGCACACGAGTACACAACGTCATCGACCGTGAAGGTCGACGGTGTCCATTGGGAAAAGGGGGAGGGCGGCTTCCAAAAGAAAACCATGTCTGGAGTACAATTCTCGGCAGATGGGTCGAAAACGGCCGGAGCAACATAGGCCGGAACGCCCTCAGTGCTGTTAGTCGAAGCTGGAGTCGCAGCCGAAGATGCGGAGTCATGATGGACAGCATGGATATCCATGGGGGTGGTCCTTGTAACAGCGGAAACCGACGAAGAATCGACTTGAGTCGGATTGCTTGCATTAATTGGGCCAGCAACACTGAGCTGGGTGCACCCCATTTCTAAACCTGAAGGAACGCCTCGTAAGGTGTTCGGCAACAGGTCGCCTTCGCTGGGAACGGCTGCCAAAGCCGGGTTAGTTGAAGAACTGAACCGAGCATGGCGCTCCTGGCTATTCCCCCGTGACAAGGTACGCGAGACCGCCGGCTGTTCGGAGGTCACTTCGGGGGCGTCCTCCCGAAGCGGTGGTGTCAACACTGTCGACGTCGGTCGCAGCAGCCTAGAAGTGGGTGCCGTTGTGCGAGCGTGCGTCGGAGAAGGTGGGGCTTGTAAAGACGACCCACGGTCGAAATGTCGCGTGGCGGAATCTGAGGATGTCCGGTGGTCGGACCAGGGGTACAAAGCGATTCGAAGCCAGACGAATTTGACCCTAAAACTTGCCGGTCGGAACCAGTCAAGTTAGCTATCGGTGCAACAGTCGAAGGCGGACCCTCAACGGAAGCGAGCATAGACGAATTGAGCGTGTCCGAAGAAGCACCTGAGGCAATCAATTCGGGCAATTCTTCATCAATCGTACAACGGTCATGGCTACTGCCGATCCTATCTGCAGACGACGGGGGGAGCGAACGNCACTTCGGGGGCGTCCTCCCGAAGCGGTGGTGTCAACACTGTCGACGTCGGTCGCAGCAGCCTAGAAGTGGGTGCCGTTGTGCGAGCGTGCGTCGGAGAAGGTGGGGCTTGTAAAGACGACCCACGGTCGGAATGTCGCGTGGCGGAATCTGAGGATGTCCGGTGATCGGAACCAGGGGGACAAAGCGATTCGAAGCCAGACAAATTTGACATTGAACTTGCCGGTCGGAAGCAGTCAAGTTACCTATCGGTGCAACAGTCGAAGGCGGACCCTCAACGGAAGCGAGCATAGACGAATTGAGCGTGTCCGAAGAAGCACCTGAGGCAATCAATTCGGGCAATTCTTCATCAATCGTACAACGGTCATGGCTACTGCCGATCCTATCTGCAGACGACGGGGGGAGCGAACGAGAGGTGCTCGACGAACGAGAACTCTTTGGCCCCGAAGGTCCAACGGATCTGTTCCCCCACCTCAAGACAGCACTCACGTCAGACTGATTAGTTTCCGACAAAGCAGCAATCCGACGAAGCGAGGGTGCAAAGGTTGCAGACGATAAGTGCGATGGCGAAGGTGGCATGTGAGCATTTGGCTGAAGACCGACCTAATCAACACTTGAAAAAACAGCGTGCACCTGACGCTGTCATTAGATAGCACCGAAGTGCGAGAGCGCGTAGGGAGAACATTTACCGAAGTATTGTTGTGATTGCTTAGGACCGAATTGCTAGAGGCAACAGAGCGCGTAGGGATAAGCAGTACCGAGGTAGAGTTATCGTTGCTTAAGACCGGAGTGCTAGAGGCAACTGAGGGTGATACACGCGCGTCTTGTGTTGAGCGAGACGAAGTTCCCAAAGATGCTGGAGGCGGTCCGAGGGAAGGAGGCGAACCACCGTCGGGGAGTCATTCGGTACAAGAACGGCCGCCATTGTGGAAGTTACCAGGTTGGCGTGCGTTGTGATTGGTCGAAACCATGACGCCAGACGAGGGACTAGCTTGAGCATGCGATTGGGGTTGATAGACGGACAGAGCACCGGTGTGGTGGGTGTTGCCAGACGTCTGTTGTGTATGATGATGGTTACCCGCGGAATGTTCCGCGGTTTGACCACCGTGGTGTGATTGTTGGTGGTGATTGTGAGAGGAACTACCACCGTCGGAACGGCGAGGCCCAGCGTGATTTTTACGCTGAGAGGAGGAGGAAGAAGCCTGCCGGTGGCGTCTACCCTGATTGTTATTGCGGCCATCTGAACCCTTACGCCTGAAGGATCGCATGCGACCATGCCAACGTCTAAAGGCAGCAGAGTCGTCATTGAGGTGGCCCAACTCGGGATTCAACAACCCACAAGAACTCGTGAAGGAAGAAGCACATTGCTTCATGGAATGGTCATCACCGGAACAGTTCAGACAGCGGTTTCTGTTTTCGCGGAAGGCTTGCGATTGAGCCTCTTGTGTCAACAAAGGAGTCCATAAAAAGGATCATCGGTGTTACGAAAATTAGCGGTGAGGGCGTATACATCAGACCAGTCAGCTTGCAAAGCAGACCACGAGTTGTAGCTGTGCGTGAAAGGATCCGCGACTTGAGGTTTCACGGGCAAAACCTCAGGGTTCTGTGCGGAGCCGGATGACCACTGGCCCGAAGACACAGGGGCGCGGTGGTTAGACCGCAGAGGTTGCGGAGAGCCACGCGTCGAAGTCAACGAAAAATAAGATGAACCACCGATGGCCGGGGTTTTATTAGTCGCCAAAGGCGCGAACGCCTCCCACATAACTGCAATTGACTCAAAGGGAGTGACCGCAGTGGCCAAAGCACCCGGGTACAAAAGCGGAGACAGACTCGGAAATTGCTCGTCGACCGAGTTTCGCACTATTTCGAGAACCATGGATAAACTAGGGGCCAAAGTACGCTTAGAGCCAGTCACAGACGAAACTAACAAGCGGAAAGCCCGAAGATAATCCCTGAAAGGAGTACCATCTGCTACACCAAATTGTTGCAGCCGCTGGTCATGCAGCCCCACAGGATTGAACAAACCCAACGTGGGCGCTGTGGAGGTGCCGACGAGGTCGGGGGTGCCGCCGAAGCTGCGGGTGCCGCCGAAGCCGCTGGGGCTGCCGAAACAGCGCGGGCTGCCGAAACAGCGGGAGCCGCCGAAACAGCGGGAGCAACTGAAGTCGCAGTTGCCGCCGAAGCCGTGGAAAGCGGGGCCAGGGGGATCGGCGACGCCGGGCGGGGGGTAGCCGAAGACCTCTTGCCGGCGCCAGCGGTCGTTGCTCGGATCGCAGGGCAGTGGCCTAATCCAACATTGGAGCAACGGATCTGCCTTTTACCACAAAGTCATATCGAGTAATTTCCCTTAAGGTTTATCCAAACAGGTGTTCTTGCAGGCATGCACTTTCGAGAAAGAGAGTTTGGCGAAGACTGTGTCGATTCTTCCGCGCGATCCAACTCATCTACCTCTCGGTGTAGAGAAACTCAACTCATGCAACATTCTCACGTAACTATCCCCGTGTCTTCAATAATCACGGTGCAACATGCAGTCATACACCCCCCACCGACTCCCCCGCCCAAAACACGATCGCTTGAAAATTTAGAACTGTTCCGCCGGGCCGGATTATTGCGTTGTGGAAAGAGAAAAAGAGAAAGATTAAGTTCCCCCCCTTCGAAGAGAGCCTTCACGGGGAGGGGGTGCATCTCTTCGTGCTTCAAATCAAACCTTCCCCCCTGGGGTGTCATCTAGCGATGGCGGAATTGGCCTCACTTCCCACCCTCCCCCCCGCCTCTCTCCCTAGAATGTACCCATTACCTGCTCTACTCTCCACAACAATGTTGAACATTATATACCCGTTGCGTCTTCCCTTCCTTGCTGCTATCAGTATATGGCCACGCGTATGGTCTCGCCTCGTGCTCAAATTCATTTCAAAACTTTTTCCGAACAACTACAACTCGCTCCCCCCGGGGGGGCTACCCCCCTTAGTATGTCAAGACACTCGATATAACAAAAACGTAATAGCTTGTAGGTTCCTACCGTTCCTGGTGTGTTCCTTTCGTCAGTCTACGTGTAGCTTAGGCATCATCTTTCCTACTTGCCGGTTTAGCCTTCCACCCTTGCCGAACTATACGAAGCACGTCCCCGACCTTCTCACCCTGCTTATCTGGCCAACCCACTCTCAATCATTTACTTTTCAGTTATCAATTCAGACGGGGGCTCGTTCGACATTTGTTCATTGAGTGGATGTTCGACAAATTGACTGCTGTCAGTTCGCGTTGTTGGTAGGTCGTACGTACAACGCACCACTGGAAGAGTGCTGGAATAGTGACCCGGTGGCTTGTGGCCTCAGTGTAGTGTGATGACTTGTTGTAAATGGCAAAACGTCTACCTTCTCAATTTTGTTCTTCGGTAGATCAGGAAGTTACAACCTTCTACCCTGCAAGTTACATTTTTCGATACCACCACTCCCTACCCCACCCCTCCCCGTACACAAACAACAACCTCTCACGTTAGATTTACTCATTGCCACTTTGCCATTTTGCCCTTCCGTCTTCCAATACCTTGGCGTCGAGGCAGTTGTCGCGGCGGCTACATGGAGTTTGAAGTCACAGATGTTGGTCCAACTCTCATTTCCGTACAGAAAGGAATCAGTTCTAGATTGCCACATGTACCTTGGTCTCTCATTTTCGACGCCTAGGACTTCCTTCTGTATCACCCCGTCAAGATTCAGAGATAAAACAAGGAACTTCACTGTATTTGAAAGAGCTTATGAATCTTGCGGCAAAGAAAAACATTCCTGTTATGGTGGAGGGCCCGGAAAACCGACGGAAACGGGGCTTGTCGAAGCGCCAAGTCGATGACAATCTGGTGATTGTTTGCCTGCCATTGGTTCTCTTCTTCCGCTTAGACTCTCGCCAAGGAGAGCTCGCTTGGTACATGATGCTCGGTAGACAAGCTGGTGTTGCCATGGACCTTAGTACATGATGCTTGCCGTGATGTTCTTGGAGACCTTGAAGGTGTCGATCTCCTGCAGGCCCTTGTACAGCTGCCTGTAGAACGGCTTCCTGCTCCGACTGCAACATCACCACGAACAATAAAGAGGGGCCAAAATGTGACACTCGCAAGCATAAGTGTTGCCATTTTTTTCAGTTGGGTCGGTGTCGGGTGTGGAACAAGAGAGAGGGAGAAGCACAATACATCTCATTATAGAACTGGGGTACACAAAAGGGATCATGGGTTGCCATTCGCCGATGGAGAGGAGGTTTCAGGCTCATGTAGACGTAAGCCATCGACAACTCACCAGATCTTGTTGTTCCAAAAAGGATTGAGGGTGGGCTCAGACCACATGTAGCGCCAGGCAGTGCTCTCCCAGTGGTCGTACCTGATCACGAACCGGAATAAATAGAAGCGTAACCGGATCGCAAATAATAATAATTTCCAATAGAAAGTAGACCGTCTGGCATGTGTCGCTCAACCTATGCTGCAGAATCTTGAGCACAATACACGCCTGTGGATTGTTTCCTGTAGGCATCTCTCCCTTCCCTGTAGACATACCTTGTAGAAAGATTATCGCCAGAGATCTACAGCATATCTCCTGGCAGATGCACCAAACAAGAGCATTTTCTTGTAGAATCGAACCAGGTTCGTCAGGCAACAATAACAAAAAGTGGTGCAACCAAACAGCGGCTACGTGATACCGAAGAGTAATTCCGCCCTCATATCCCCCGTTCGTATTTTCGTCTGTCTGTCTGCCCCCCATCTCCTGGTTTCTCTCTGTCCCTCTAAGGTACAGATAGCGACGCTCACCAGGTGCCAGGCTTGAAAGTGTCGGTCGTGTCGAGGTTGAACACCTTGCCCCACTGGATTCTGTGTATGAGGGTGTGGTCAGAGGCGTGGACGATGCAGGACAGGAACACTGCCTCATGGAGGTCGGGAGGGATATCGTTTTTCTTCATCACCCTGTGTCGTGAGTGTGGGGAGTAGGGGCGAGTGGTCAGCAGGGTAAGCCCGAGGGGAACGATGATGTCGATGGCTGCGATGCTCAGAGGCAGTACATGTCAAGATGTCCATCGATGAGTAGTAACAGAGTTTCGCATTGCCGAAACTATCTTCATGGTTAGTGCGGCCAAAAGCCGATCTTCTTCAAAACACAGCTGGGATCAGCGAGGGGTTTGGGGCACACAGAGAGACGCCGGAATGGCGTTCAGTAGTAGTATCGTATTGCACCAACCATCCCAAACGAGCTGTATCAACACGAGCTGAAGAAGCTTCCGACTATCAACCAATTCATCGGCCTTTGACAGAAAATGTCTACCCTGCAAACCAAGCATCGAAAGCGAAACACGCAACAAAGACGATATAGGTATACAGTAGTGGGGTGGAGGGGCGGGAGACCAAGCAATACAGAATGAGACTATCTGTCTGTTTGTCTATCTGTCAATGTCTTTATCTTGATCTGTATCTTCCCCCCCTCCCCATCCTCTATCTTTCCCTCTCAATCCTGCTGCATACTTCCCTGCAGGTTTCTCTCTGCCTCCATCTTGGTGCTGCTGTTACTGCTGCTATCTTGTCATCTGAAAATCATTGGTCATCTAAAAACCGCGACACCAGGCACCCCTTTCTTCCCCTCTCTCCAGCCCCCTCCCTCACCGGGTCAGCACTAGGCGAGCGTTGAGCAAGAAGTCCGCGAAGGGAAGCTCTAGGTCAGCCCAGCGTTTCTTGTCCGCGTGATCGGCTCCTAGGGAGCTCATGTTGTCCCCCTCCGACACCACGGAGTCGCGGGTGGCGACGGCGCCAAGTCCAGTCCACTTGTTGCGTTCGTTCCTGTCCAAAACAAAATAGTTGGGGGGGGGGGGCGACAACATAAACTTGTTGTCTGAGCCGCGATCCCGGTGGAGCAAAATATGTCGTGATACTTCACAAGATCAAAATAGCCAGCAAACACAGAAAAAAAAAAAACGACTCTTTCTTATTCACAAGTGACAACAAGCAGTTCAGTGGAGGTACGCTTGCATCGTCAGACGTGGGTCACAACATGCCTGGGGTGGGTCAGGGGCCCTTGGGTGCCGTACTGGAGGCCGTGGTGCAAGGCGGTGGTGGTCCACGTGCTCTCCGACAGCTTCTCCGTGACGCGATCGTCCACGAGGATGCGGTCGGCGAGAGAGTTGCCCATCATGTGGCACTTGGTGTGCGCGCTCCCGCTGTGGTAGTGGTGCAGCAAGCCGTACATGCGCTCCCGGGAGTGCCAGGCCTCCCCGTTCACGACGAACGAGACGATCTTGTTCTCCCACACGCCGTTGTTCTTCCAGGGCTCGGGGTTGTAGTCGGCCTGTTTCTTGGCAGCGGCAACGGCAGCCTGTTTCTCGGCGGGGGTGAGCTCCTTGGCGCCGGGGAGGGACTGCTTGGGCTTTGATCGATCGACAGTGTGGCAGTTGTTGATGAAACGATGAGATTGGGCGCACGAGCGGACGAGGGGAGACAGAAAACGTCGTGAGCGGGTCATTTGCTATGTGCGGATACGTGGTGGTGAAGAGGAAACGCGTGTGTTTGGGGGAGAGGGAGCCCAGGCCGCCTGTTAAAACACGTTGTTCAGCCCGATATAACACGTGTTGTCGCCAATTCCAAAGTCATGACAGAATACATCGGCAGGGATGGTTGCAAGCGACTGTGAACGTGTACGCACGCACGGAACCCGAGAGTTGGTGGTATCTCTTTGAAGCAGGCGCCGGCATCACAGTCAGCTATATATCGATACCCACAACGCATCGAGGACACAAACATCCGAGTTCGATGTTTGCTGCAAGGCACGCAGCATTCCGTCGATATCGTTCCCGACAGCTAAACAGATGATCCCCCCCCCTACCTCCCCCCACTCGTCTTCATTCGGAGCAGTTGTTTGCTGGTTTTGGGACCCACGGAGATACGACGTCAACGACGACCGAAGATGTAATGAAAATACGGCGCGAAGGCACGTGCTGTAGGTATTCAAGCTTACCTGAGGGCGCCTGCGAGTCTTGGTGTAGCGCATGCTCCAGCTCTTGATGAGGGTGCTCTTGCCGATACCAGACTGGTAGGTTACCCCGACTGGGCGGATCATGAGGTCCAGGAGGCACTTCTCGACGTTCACGTAGTAGTGCCGGGTCTCGTACAGCGGTAAGCCGTCGTTCGTGGTGCAACCGGGGAGAGACTTGAACGCAGCCTGGCGAATCGTGCGTTGGTCGCGGGTGGGGGCAGTTAGGAGGGATTTATTGTTACGTCCTCAATAGAGGGCGTTTTTGTGAGGGGATGGAGGATGGGAGGTTACGAAACATTTGTTGAGTATCATTTTCGTATTCTACTCCTTGTGTAGTCCACATCGCGCCCCCCCCCCCTTCTTGTATTGTAATGAAACCCAGGTTGCTTCCTGTACGAAGATAATAATTGACGTTTATTCCACGGTGTACTGTGTTTGCTCTTGCCTTTTCGGCTGCCTCGGCTTCATGGTCACGGCGGAGGACGAGACACAGAGTGCATCCCTCCATGCACTCGATGATATCGTTGTCGGTGTTGGGGACGCGCCAGAAGAGGACAGAGATGAAGCAAAGCACTTGACCGATAATAAACTTGACGAAGTACCTGCTCCGAGAGCCAAAAACGGGACAAGGTTGAAAATCTCGTTGTCAGCGCCGCGACGGAGGCGAATGTCACGTTTCGTTGCTGCCGATAATATACATAGTGGGGGTGATGGCGTGACAAAACAGTCTCACGTATCACTACAATAGAACCTCTCTAGAATCTCCATCCTGCAGGATTCCATGTAACAATTGAAACGACTCATTGCGTGATGAAGAACTTGCTTGCCACCATAGATATTCGATTCAATCATGGCAGACAAGAAGTACGAACGACACACCGAACAAGACACGATGAAATTGCTCTCCCTCACATTGGGATTTGAATGGTGTGGTGAGCTCTGTACAGCTTGCCGTAGAGGTGGTGAGGCTCGAGGTAAAGACCCGTCTTGATAGGCGTGGCGCCGGGGTGAGGGGGAGGAGACAGAGAGCGGCGTCGGTTGGACTCTTTTTTCTTGGTGGGTCCCCGTTGCTCTACGGGCACCGCCTCCTTTGTCTGGGTGGTTTCTTCGCACATTTTCGTAACCTGTTCCTGATGTGTTCCGTGTTGACGGAACAAGGTGGGAGGGCGGGATGGTTGGAAACGGTGAACCCTTGGACGCATGAGCCAGTCGTGTAGACATCTTCATCGGCTGTTTCTTCAAAGGCGCTGAAGGGCGGGCTCGAACAGCTTCTTCTGTGGCACTCCAAAATAGTAACACCTTTTTGCGATACTTGTTTCAGAGGGTCTCGCACAGGCCGGCAGGCACACACCGGCGTGCGCTCTGCCTATGGGGGAGGGCGAGGACGATGCTATGGGGCCCATCGATTGTTGCTTGACTCACCCCCCCTCGCGCCAAGTGTATACTACAGCCGAACTACACCCTCACACAAGCGGCTCCTCGGGGAAAAACTAACACATAGGCGGTGGACAACCGATCGGCACATCAAGGAGAAGTTCTGCTTTAACAAGCCGTGAACAAGAAGACAAGTATATGGGGGTTGTTTCATGCCCCGTTCGTTGGTTGATAAGAAGTTTAAGCTGCCGTCGATGCTACATTTACGGACACTTTTACAGCCTCTCACGATAGGTGGAGCTCACGTCACACCCGAAAAACACTCGATCAATTTGAGATGATTGCTGCTGACGTCCACACAAAAAACAACTGTTTACCAAACATTGCCAACGGCAACAGTTTCTCTCTCGAAGTCTCAATCGAAAGATAAAAAACGCGTAATAGGAGCCGGGCCAGAGCACACCAAGCTGGCGTCACGGCGGACGTCGAAGGAGCTTAGAAAAAACCAACGACTGCAAAAATTGCGCCCAAAATCATGATGCCCTCGCGCTTCACTAGTCTATAATTGTACCGACGGAGGTGAGTGCTGCCTGTTTTGCCAACACCATTGCTGCCGAACGGGCTGGAAGCACAATTCTCCCCGCTCGATAGCTTTGAACGCCAACGGACCCCACTCGATGCTGCACGTACTACGCCATAGGGTGCACGAACGTGTTGTAAAGTACCATGTTTATACGGGACGTTTTCGTCACAGGTGTAGACTTCGTAGATGAAAAGCCGTGTTTTCGGAACGCGCCCCCCTTGGGACACTCTCCTGCTCGATCGCAGTTTTTGCAGATCTTTTGGGACGAATATGAATCCAAATGAATCACCTTCTTCGGAGTTCGTTTCGTGGTGAAGTAGCTGCTGCTGCTGCTGGAAGAGGTCGGTGCCGTCTTTGACTGATGGCTGTCGATGTAGTCTGATGTAGTGTCGTGTGTGTGACCTCGCGCCAACAGCACTGGTCGATGCAATCAACGGTTCGGCGTGTGGATAGTCGCCTGATGAGAGCCATTGGTTGCTCGTTGGCCTATTGAATGCTTCTTTTCCATTGGTCGCGACGCACGACATCGTACGCAAGTCCACATATTATATACATATTTGCTTTTCTTCAATTTGCATCGACCGCGCCGACCGGCTGATCAAATGGACGTGAATCTCTAGCGGGGCAGAGATGACGAACTGGGGAGGCAGGGTACAGTTCTCGCGTTGTGGTACTTGTGAGAAAAAGTAATGAGTGCGGATATGTTGTTATATACACCGGAAAAATATGATAACCAGGTGTTCCCGACGAAGAAACCGAAGAAAATAACCTGCCGACGGTTTCATGTAATGTAGACTTTCTCTTCGTGGTCTCTCGCTGCACATCAATCTCTCGCTTCTCACTCCTCATTGATCAAGTCTGCGGTCTCCGCGCAAATAACCGCCGAGTGTGCTTTGAGAAATGCTTACAGTTATGTTCCTGCCGTTAAGTAGTAAATGAAGACACGCGCGGTTGATAGTCGCACTTGACGAAGGCACTCTGATGGGCAGAGAGGCCAGAAAAAAAAAGCAAGCGCGCCCGCCCTCTCAAAAACACCCTCACTCGTTCCTTTGGCACCTTTCTTCGAGGAACATCGGGACAGGGAGAACTACCCTGATAATGCATAACGGCGTGGCCTGGCCTTCATCTGCAAGGCGGATGGATATAGATGGTTTATTTCGTGGGTTCACTGTGCTACATCTACACACACCTGAACTAAAAGAGTAGTTGTTGTCTTCATTCGCATCAAAAACCATTCCTAGTCTATACCCAGTACTTTTTCCTGTTAAAAAAAAAAAGAAAAAAAGAAAATGTGAACGGTCGATTCCCGTGGTCACGCGCTGACTTACCCAAAAAAGGTATTCTAAAGTAAAATAAAGTGAGCAGTGTACTGTACCAGCTGAGTAAAAAACACACACCATACTGCCCCCTCACGGGGTCCCAGTTCATGGCAGATATAAGTGTTTTGTGTTTTCAACCGCGCTGAGACTGACGTCTTTTCATTGGTCAGCCGGTTAGCGCGATCTACGTACAGTAGTACCCGTTCGTTCCCGAGGAACCTCAGAGTCGTGGCCTCTTGCCTGTCGTTGTTGTTTAGTCAACAGACAGGGGACTCTCCTGGGTCTGGCTCCTTATGTGCCGTATCTATCTGGAGCCCCAAGCTTGCGACCGCGAAAATTAAATCGTTGCTCGGCTTAAAAGATTCCCAACGAGGAGGTACACAGTAGTAGTGGATAAGGGTTATTGTAGGCTAGAGTCCAGAGCGGCTTCATAACGTTGAGATATTATTGGTAAACTTTAAGTAGCCATGGAAGAGTTTGAGAAGACATCGCACCCTGCTTGCCAGTACAATTTGCATTTGTGGTACAATAGCCCCGGGGCAGCCCCCGACGGAGTTTGGAGCTTGCTTCCCCTTTACCGCCTGCCGGTGGAGAGGTCTTCAACAGAATCTGAGTGGACCTCCAAAGCGCTGGAGAACAGTGTCGCTCCGACACAAATGTCGGATGAAAAATAGGCTTACAGCAGTAGATATTTCTGCTCTACGACGGGGCTTCCTTAATATTATTATTATTATTATTTTCTCCCATCATCGGATTCTTCTGCGTCTGCCCCTCTGGCCCCTATCCTCCACTTCTACTAGCTAAACGACCCGACCGGGGTCACATAGGAGGGGGGGGCTGGACCCCCTCCTGCGGTTCCTGCCTGAGGTATTTTATCGCGAGAAGGGTACAGCAATCCCTTCCCTCGCGACTTCGAAGTCGATTATGGTTTACTGACAAAGAGCTTTGCAACGCGTCGCTTTCATCCTAGACCAGGATTTATTTAGTGAGAAAAAAACTCACTCTGCCGGGACTCGAACCTATGACCTGGCCCTTAGAAGGCTGCGAGGTTACCCACTAGACCACCGGGGCGACCGATACCTATGTAGGACCTTGAATGTCATGTCGGTGTCGTTCCAACTGGAGGCAATCCACAACCTCGATCTACTCACGGAATTCACACCAAGCCAAACCTAACCGCATTTATTTCCGAGCAGAGTTTCCTGCAGACAGAGAAGCTTCGAAGGGAAACTGAAGCAGGTAGCAACATCCTGCACGGCACGTATGCGAAAAAAAAGTGGCCGAAACTCGTGAGAAAGTGCCAAAATATTGAGCCGTGCGATAGAGAGCGTCGAATATTGACACTTCCATCGAATCGAAGAAATAATACTACGACTAGCGACCTATCAAACCATCCTCACCACGGGAGCATGTCTCAGCAAGAGAGTATTTGCTACGAGGTTCCCCACGCACATTCCAATTCCCATCAACGTCCATGAGGACACCCTGAACACCGTCACACCCGAAGCCTTTTCAACGGCGAAATCGGAAACGGACTATCAACTCCTCGACCCCGCATAAAACGAAAACGATTTTGTAACAAACCACACTCTAACGGAACAAACCCGGAGTCTTGTTTGGCCACACGAGGTATAGAGCGGCTGTTAACCCGAACATCACAACACAAAATACAAAAGAGGTAAGGCTACATCCTCTAGCGAAGCCCTCAACTCACACTTTTAACAAACCGTTCCCGATTCTCCATCATGACGAATGGCGCGCTGCTCCTCAACCCAGAACAACTTCTCACGGGAAGGACGTCGAACCTGCTCCATCGAAGCACGCCGTGCATAGATAAATCTCTCCTCACCTTCGATCGGACGGAGGCATGATTAAAACTACATCCGGAACACCCCGAACGACGTGCGCGGAGCCGCGTCTTTCGTCGCCACGTGCAGGGTGAGCCCGAGCACCTTCCGAGTGTCGGCCGGGTCTATCACGCCGTCGTCCCAGAGGCGCGAGCTCGAGTAGTACGGGGAGCTCTCTCGCTCGAACTTGTTGAGTATCGGGTCCTTGATCTTCGCCTCTTCCTCCTCTCCGAGGGTCTCTCCACGCCTCTGGCGCTTGTCTTTTTCCACCTACGAGTAATTTTTTTCCGTATGTTCGTCGAACGGCGTTTTCTTAGTCACCCGACCTATGTACCTACCTACCTGCAAGGGGAGGGGGGGTGAGGGTGTACTCGTAGTCGTGCATGCCGTAGTCGTTAGACCATTGACCTCGCATCCCTACAAAGCCGGGACGGAGCACGCCGGGTTCTCACCGGACCAGGCTCTCACATCACCAAGCGCGAAGCGCCGTGAGATAT